GCACTCTTCTGTCAAAATATGGCAGCATGTACTTGTTGACCTCTGTAAACTCCAAGCACGTGGCCCAAGCTGTGTGAATGTGCCTCAGGAGCCGGGTCTCACGATGGGTCCTTAGCTGGTCCCTCTTCTTGCGGCCAGCTTTACTATGCCGCTTCTCAAAGAACACCAAAAATGGACACCCTTGGTCCAGCCCATGCTGTCGGGCAAATCGATGAGGGAAATACCCCTCAAGCTTGACATTATGAATGATACAGTAAGGTAGCACCCCGCCTCTCACACTCGGCATGTACATCAGCTCCTTATGAGTGGTAGGAGCACCATTTAGGCTCCTGCCCAGCTCATCGGCAAAAGCACGATCTGTGAGGTTTCCAACTGGGAAGGCGGGTCTACTCATATGAAGATGGTCATTGAAGAACAAGTTGCGTGCATGACCAGGAGTGTGAAAGATTACTTTCTGCCCAGCTATCCTCAGAAGAAATGGGCACATTACTTCATCCAACACCCTATTTTTGAGGTAGGTGTTGGGGAAATAAGCCCCAAGCCATCCGTACACATAGTAGATGGGGAAAGGCATCATGATGTCCCATGGGAAGGCTTCTCCATCCATTATGTCGTTCCCTCCTTCGTCGCCTTGATAGAGTTTTCCTCTGAACACGGCTCCCAAGCCATAATAGATGCTGCACAAGACCGGTTGTGCGAGCGCGTACTCTCGCCCCCTCGTCATGTCACGGGCTACATAAAAAGTGCTTGGATGAATGGTGTCTGCTCCTCCGCAGAGACCGAACTTGCACAAGAAGAGCACCAGGTATGCCACTAGAAAGACGTGGTCGTTCCCTCTATGCAGCTCAAATACTAGAGGGGCTCTCTCCGTGGATGCCTTTCGCTTTATTCTCAGGCTTGGAGCAGCCTTATCATCATAGTCTCCATAGAAGAATGCCACCCATTTGGTGAAGGAGAGGCGTCCCTTGTTGGTCTTAGAGTAGAGCAGCTGGTAGATCCCAAACAACTCTTGTAGTCCAGCTGGTGGGTCTTCTTTCCCGACCCATTCACCTCCAAAAATGACCGAGTTCGGGGGCACGAACTCGTCATACATAGCACCGATGTGCGGGAGCCCACCGATGAAGTACAGGTCAAGCAGAGACATCCTTGTTTCCCCATGACCAAGCAGCCATGGATTGCTGGCATGGCTCCAAGTTTCCAACAACACCTTGACCGTGTTCGAACAACGGTCATAGTATCCCACCGAGCACTGACTGGCAGCCAGCAGGGAAGCATGCTTCAGAGTGTCCCTGTATCGACTTAACACCCTTACAATCCAAGAAGAGTACCCTTTCAAGTACTGGTGCTCCCCTTACAGTTGGAGGCCAGCAGAGGACCACTTCAGGCCTAGGGTCTTCACCATATATATATATATACCAGATCCGAATTCATACTCATCATCACAGCAATCTTTGAAGCTATCCTTCGCCCTCATAGCTCAAATCAGGTTCTCTCTTACCTCACTCTATAATTATGTGTGATTGTAATCTCACAAATTTACCTTCATACTGCCCTCATCACTGGAAACTGTTTTCCAGTTACTGTATGTGTGCTCAGTAAGTTCTTCATCTCTTTGTCCTTCCGGTTATCTCTTTGTCAACTCTCAGTTTTATTTCCTGTTTTCATCTTTCTTTCCTCTGTAATATTTCCATGTAATAGCTTGTTTTATATCTTTCTTTCCTCTGTAATATTTCCATGTTGTAAGCACATGTGAATATAAATAAGATGCTAGTGTGATTTTCTGTAAGATTCCATTGCTTACTCGTTATGCAGTTTAAAATTTTATTCAATATTAAGATAGGTAACACTAGTTACGCACAGTGGATAGTACTTGATATCTCAATAGTTCCGTTCATAGGAATTCTATTATTCTATTTAAATTATTATAAAATATTGCAATCAATAGTAACTTACAACAGCTTGCTGTTCACATACTTGTTATAAGTCCTGAAAATCGCTTCCAAAATAAACTTCAACACCTGAAACATAAAATCCAATAAATAAAACTTAGTCAAAACAAAACAAATGAC